ATATATATATAATTAGTTTGTCAAACATTAAATTCTTCCAGATTTCCAGGCAAACTTGACAAAAATCCCAAAAAAATCTACTTTGGTTTGTTTATGTTCAACAACAATAGGTGCAACAATAGGCTGAGCCTGAAGAATCTGAAGAGGAAAACATCTTCAAARAACAAGGAGTGAGGTCCATTTGTATTCTATTTAAATACTGATWTTTTTTTCAAAAACTTGAATCAAAGCCCTTATTCATGTTTTAAGTATAAAAAAKGCGCAGGCAAGGTAGTGCCGTCCAAAATAAGCTTGCATCTCAGCATGCAGCCAGAAATGTGGATAAAATCAAAATCCTGTTCACAAATAAATAATAGAATAACTTGTGTTTCGTGTGAACACGACAAAGTAAAATCGTAGCCAGGATGAGGTTTAACCACAGTACCAGTATGCTTGTAGACAAACGATCATTTAAAAGAAATAATACGAAAGACTTCTGATTTAAAAAAAAAAAAGGAAGGACAACAAAAACGAGTATGTCGTTCATTTCTAAGCAGGTTTGTGTAGCTTCTCTCACCAGGGATGTCTTTTTTGTCCTCCTGTTTGTTGGTCTGCGCCTCCACTGCTTTCACAACCTGTCCAGTACAACAAGCTGCCAACGCAAACAAAGAGAACTCCATGAAACCCAAATTCCAACCTCCAACGTGAAGCTACGCGTGTCTGGTTTCGCGTGCGCCTCACCTTGGCTGTTGGGTTTGGCCTTCAGGATGTAAAACATTATGATGAGAACAATGGCGATGGCCATGATGAAAATGGTTGACATGGCAATAATAAGCGCGGTTGCGAGGTGACCTTGATCTGGTGAACCTGAGAAATGAAGGCCGTGATGGAAAGTAAGAAAGTGCGAGTGGGTTTGTGGGAGGAAACGTACTAAAAACAGGATGAATGAAGAAAAGAAACAAATGATGTTTGGGATTTTTGTTTATACCTTTTTGTGAAGGGTTGGGGAAAACTGTTGTGCTGCCGGCATTAATCGGACGGTTTTCTATTGACTTGATGGGCTGCGTGCCTGTAAAATACAAACAGCATAAAATGTTAGGAGACCATACTTTTAAATCTTTCTTTTTTTACATTTGAACTAAACAGTTGTGGTCTATATAAAGTGTAACTGCAATGCTTTGGTCTGGCTCCCTCCTTATTGTAACTCCGCAAGCCCCTCTTTAACCCCTTTTCTGAGRTGTGTCTCAGATCAACTCATTTTGAGGCTGTCTCTTTAAATCCAAATGAGGTGCTTCACACCTCCCCCTCTCCAGCTTCCAGACCTGTTCATTCAAGTTAGAGAGCAGAGGTACGACTATATAGCAGCGCAGAAACTTTGGTACCACTTTACAATAAGGGTCCCCTAATAGATGGCTTGTAAATAGTTTATAGACAGGTTATTAATTCATCTGTAAACACTTTCTAAATCATTAATAAGTGTTTATTATGCATTAATTAGGAATAAGAAAGAGACAAAACTGTCTGATTTCTTGCTAAATAGTGAGCCAAATCTGTTCATGGACATATTAAAAGTGTTATATTAAACATTTCACACTAGATTAACTTGTAAGCACAATAAGGTATTGGAAACACATATTTACAGTAAGTACACTATTTATTAATGATTAATAAATGTGTATAAATGTCATAATGGAGCCTTAAATAATGTACAGTCTTACACTTTACAATAAGGCTACTTTTGATAGTTGTGGATATGTATAATACAGTGCAATATTATATGTAAAATACGTGTTTCCATTWCATTAGTGTGTTTATAAGGTAGTAACCTAGTCTGGAATGTTTAATATAGCACTTTAGATGTAATATGTACATAAACAGATTTGGCTCACTATTTGACCAAAAACCGGACAGTTTTGTCTTTCTTGTCCTTAATTAATGCACAACAAACACTTAATAATGATGTATAAAGTGTTTACAGATGAACTAATAACCTGTCTATAAAGTATTTATAAGCCATCTATAAGGGGAGCCTTATTGTAAAGTGGTACAGAAACTTTTTATTTACAAATTGATTTAAAAAAATGTTAACAGCCAAAGTCTTGTCCATCCAGCCTCAGAGTGTGACCCTGAGCCATTGTTGTTGTTAAGTCCAGACCTTATTTGGCAGTTCTGTTGCGAAAACGTCTTAGAACATAGAGAAAACTGAACGGGTTGAAAAATATGACCCAACTGGACTATAAATATATCYAAGCAGCACCGGGACGCAGCTGTTTTTAACAGCTAAAAATGTGGTTTTTGCATGATAGATGGATAAATCAATGTTTAATGGACATGCAATGTTTAAAACAGATATTCAAACTCTTGATAGAGAAGAGCAAATCTTTTAAGGCCAAGCTATTCCTCTAGTCCTTTTTTTTTAACCAATGCATGTCATAAAGATTTAATTACGCCCTCAGGAAATAGTGTCAACTCGTAAAAAAAAAAGGGGGGGGGGGGATCTGCAACTTATTGTCTCTTATTGAATCGCGGAGCCAACTTTTTGTTTTTCAAGAGAAAATAATGCTCGTTTTCTTTACGCAGCTCAGGAGTTGTTTTCTATAATCCTCCTGACAAACAGACAAATGGTTTTGATCAAATACTTTCACATTGGCAGAGGCTAGGTGATTGTGGCTGAATCAGAAATCTGCAGGAATGTGGATTGAGAGCAGGATGTGGGAAGGGGATCCGGGTCTTTTAGTGGCCAGAAAACACGGGTCAGAGAACGATTCCCGTCTCCAGCTCTGCCTTCATTTTACAGCTGTGTTTATAAACAACATTTGCAACTGCATTCATAAATGCTCTTCAATGTTTTATTACCAGCAGCTGGTCTTTATAAATCCTTTATGCAGCAACATTAATAAAACTGATTTGCTAAAGCATAAATAAACAGCCGACGGTATTGCAAATGACATTTACAAACACTGCCTGCTGTTGGTAACATTTCTAAATTAGAAGTGGGGATTTTAAAAACAAGGGGAGATTAGATGAACAGCATCATTGGCTTTGGGCTGCTCCTTTATTCTTTTCATTTCCTATTTATCAATTAGATTCAACGCTACAATAGTTGGGTCTTTATTGTGATGCCAACATTGAATGCAGTTGTTTTAATGACACACAGCTGTTGGAAGAGATTAATATATTGCTGTGGACTACTTTGGCAGAAAAGGGGAGTTTTGGTGAGTTTTAAAGGCACTTGTGGATAGCTTTAGGTATTTTCACACAGAGATGTGTGTATCCCTGTTTGTGACTTTCTCATTAAGTAAAATCCCATTAAGAACACCACGTTRTGAGAATGAAGTGTTAAATAAACATCGTGTCACATATACTGGCATGCCGAGCTTTTACAGGAAGTTGTTTCTCACTAACATTTCAATGCAATTTTTGTTTTTCAGCAGCAAATAATCTTTACACTGTCAAGTTCATAATAAACCAAGAAAAGAAAACTAAATAGAGAAACACAAAGGAGAAAATGCAAGAATAAACAAAGAAACTAAATAATGAACAAATCAGTAGGTCTATGGCAAGACCTTTTGAGCAATAATTAATTCAGGAGACAAACAGCACATGATGAAACCTGAACAGAACTAAAAAACTGTAGATCATGATAGGAAAAAATAGTCAGTAAGAGTAAAAAAGTATTTGATAAAAAGGCTACTCAAGTACTGAATAACTGAGCAGAACATCTGGTTTAATATTTTTAAAAATGTGTAATCAGACAGACAAAAACTATGAAGTTAGATTAAAGTTTGGCATTTTAAAGACTAAGATGAAAAAATATATAAATACCAACAAATTTCATTACATTACACATATTGGCAGACAGTGGCAAAAGAAAAAAACAGTAGCATTCAACAAAAAAATACAGCTCTAGTATTCGAAGTACTGAAACTAAATTATTAGACTAGTTGCATGAGATAACTTCAAGACTATTTTGAGAGTAAAATCGTTCTAAAAATTGCAAATTTGTTTTTTTTTTTTCTGCAGACCCTCACTCTTTGCATCCCCAGCACAGTGAGAACCTGACTTTAATGCRTCCATCTTTATGATACAGTCATGCAGTTTAAAAGTTTCAGTTCATTTTAGCACGATCAGGTCTAGAAGAGCAAAAAGTTAGAGGCGGACTTGAAGCAGCTTTAAAATAAAATGTGTCTGAAATACGTGCAGAGGCTCAGAATCAGCCCTGCCACTTTTCTCTGAGTGTTAGAGGCACAAGCCAGCGTATCTGACAATATAAAGAGGTGTTTAACCGACAAGATGAAATTATAACTTTCACCAATTCCTGCGTTTATGCATTAACACTCTCCGAGGATGGGGCTGTTAGCTTCAGCCTTTCGTTTAACGGCCATTTTTTTTTCCTTTCTGGAGCCCTATTTTGCGGTGAGCAGAATTCCACAAAAGCAAATTATCATCCCTGACAGCGGATAAGTTCGACTTCTGCAGCTCAAAAGCTTTTTTTTATTGGGCAGCGTGGATATAAAGCAGCACACCTCCCCGTCTGCATTTCCCTCCGTCTATCTATTGCTTCCAGTCTTCCCCTTTCTGGGTTTTTCATCAACTCTCCTTCCTCTTGCCTAATGGAGCTGTAAACTCTGGGCAGCGCATAAATCACRTCTTTTAATCAGTCTTTTCCCTTCAACAAGTTGACATATTCTCTGGCATGGGGTTGGCCGCTTCCCGTGGTCTCAGGGCCTCGTGTCCCCACATAAACACACACTCACACACACACAAAACCAGCACCCTGTGGCTGCAGACATCAACTCTAGGTATGTGTTTACACTCCTCTGGATGATGACATGAGTCTGAGCTGGAATTCTGTTTAGCATCCTGCGGTTTAATCTCTTAATCAGGCTGAACGCACACTACACAATGACAAAYGTGCCGGCCAATCTCTGGTCCAAACAAACTAAAAGGAGGCCAGACCAGAGGAGAACATCTGAGGTCGTCGACAAAGGTTTTGGCTACCATGACGGATTCGAATAAATGGGTAATTATATTCCATTTGAATAGTAAAAATGTGAAAACAGAAAGGGGCAGAGTGGTAATTGAGCGATGCCTACAGGTCCATTTTACAACCTGCCAAAGAGTAGCATCAGCACAAGCACAAACATGCTAATCATCCATCTTTCTCATACCCGCCACAATTTTAATTATCACACACACAGAGATCTAGGCAGGAGCCAGGGTAATTTACAGATTACATGGCAAGTGTCAGCCTGTCTTCACCTTAAGCAAATAAAACTCCCAGCTTCAGCTCTTTTTTTTATATATTTTGTTGGTTAAACATTATTTTTCTTTCCCCGTTAAGAGGATTTCATGAAAGAGACAAGGTGGTTAGGAGGAAATGTCATCCTAATACGTATCAAAGCGAAAATGGTTAAAATCTTGTGAGATGTCACAATTATTTGACACTAAGCAGATGAAAATCAAAAAGAAAAAATAAGTAGGTCCTCTGGATTGGTTCTTCTTTAGTGAAACGTTTCATCTCTCCTCGAAGAGACTTCTTCAGTATGATGAGTTTCAGGTTAACTCAGCCTTATAAGCACTGCCTCCACATGGACAAACAGGTTAGTCACATGCAAAAGAGGGCCATCGCCTAACAATAGGCTTGATTAGGGCACATGACCCTCTATGCACAATAGAACTAATCAAGACCATTGTCAAGCGATGGCCCTCTTTTGCCTGTAACTAACCTGTTTGTCCATGTGGAGGCAGTGCTTATAAGGCTGAGTTCACCTGAAACTCACCAGACTGAAGAAGTCTCTTGGACGAGATGAAACGTTTCACTAAAGAAGAACCCATCCAGAGGACCTGCTTATTTATTTTCCTTTTGATTTTTTCTACCTGGATTACTGAGATGCATCAGGACACTAAGCAGAGGRGTTTTGAGATATAAAAACATTTTAGAGTCACGGTCTTTGAGTGCAAAAAAAAAATCTCTACCAACAAAGTTTTTAAAAGCATAAATACGACATTAAATATCGTAAATCTTACAACACTTTCCTTTGTGTGCATGCGCGCATGTGTGTGTGTGTGCATGATGGGTGTGTGCTTTGCAGGCCCAGGCTGCTTTTGGGGTTTCTATCTTTCAAAACACACTCATTAATTAAATATGACACAATAACAATAACATTAGTTTAAGAGATTTTTATTTACAGTCAGGGGGGATTCTAAGTAATTAGGGACACATAAATACAAATATTTTTGCAGCCTTAGATCCTAAGTTTTAGAAAATATCTGTCGTCGACCCACAGGAAGCATAAAGTGTCAATGCAAATTTTATTATTGTTTTATTAGTTTTTTTATTTTATTTATATCTTTATTGCAAGTATTTGGACTAGTAGATTTTTTCTCTCATATGTTTAGCACCTAGATCACCTCTCATCATAAGTTGATTTTAGTTAAAAACTAAGGCAGGGATTTGGACCTACAGCATGCAAAGTTTTGTTTTATTTTTCCTATCCTGAAGACACATTACTATTGATCACAGCTTGAGCCAGTTCACACACGCAGTGCTTCCCACAGGAGAAACTGTGGTGACTTCATTAAACAGAAACCCAAGTGTAAAGAGGGGAAATTGGTAGCATTTCTTTTTTTTTATTTGTATTTTTGCACAATCCCAGCAATTATAGGATTAAACACAATGTGAGAAAGTGCAACTGAAAAAAAAAAAAATCCAGACGCATCTGCAAATCCAARAAAACCGTTTCCGGCGCATTCTCGGTGTCCTGCGAGCGCGAAGAAATGCCTACGGACAATCGCGTATGGAGTTAAATTCATACSATAACGGTGCACGCAAATTAAACATGTTTCACAAACTGTCCTCAAACTTTGTGCACACACACACAAARCAGGTTTCACACAAATAAAACTGGTTTCGCGCAAATAAACCAAGTTTCATACAACAAAACTGGTTTCAATTTGTGTGCAACATGTTTTGTGTGTGTGCACAAACTTTGAGGACAGTTTGTGAAACATGTTTAATTTATGTGCAACACGTTTAATTTGCGTGCAACGTTATGGCACGAATTGAACTCCATAATCRCGGCATTGGTCAGGCCGTGTTTGCGCACAGATTAGAGTCAAGYATGCAGGATGATTAGCGATGTTATCGATAGCAGCGGAACAACCGGTAGGAGCGAGGGAAACAGTGAACCRAGAAGRGAAGGGAAGTGTTTTTGCAACCTGTTTGTTTATGTCGGGTGATGTTGGCTCATAAAAGACGACAGTGATCAAAGGGTCTAGGAAAGCTCAGCTTAACCTCTGACCTCCAGCTGTTTCCTCAAACTTACTCCAGGCTTTCATCATCTGCTTCTGCGCGGCCTGTCCACTTTTATTTCCTTTTATTTAAGCTCAAAACCTTTCTGCAGCATCTAATCAACTTAAACATGTGTAAATAGTTAATAATGGTTAGAAAATGCATTTGACAGACTAAAAATGGATAAAAAGCAGCGAAGAAAAGAGGAGTCTTACATTCTTTGGTGTTGCGTGGTGCATTCTGACACGAGTGGCAAACCATCCCGTAGAGGTTTCTGGGTTTGTTCTCCAGCATATAATACCTGCAAAATATATAAAAAAAGATTTAAATAAAATAACAACTTTAAAACAGGTTAACTTGAAAAGATGAAGCCTGACGTGGTCTTTGCTTTTCATGTAAATTCAAAAAGATAGAGCAAGATATTGGATATTTATTAGCAAGCAAAAACTGAATGCATAATTGAAAACAGCTTTCACACCTGCAAGTAAATGTGTTCAGCTGGTATGTTGGGTATGCAGGTGACCTTTCTTTCTACACTTTATTTTCAAACAGTTTATGGAGAAGAAACTGAGGTGCAAAGTTTGACTTTTCTTAGAAATGTACATAATTGACACCCTGGAGGTACTAAAAATAGCTTAGTACAGATATCGCCTGCAGCCATATGAAGGTGCCAGGGTTTTGAACAGATGGATGGTTTTGCATCGTTTGGGCTGAATGGCATTAGGAGGATATTTGAGAACTGAATGCATACAGCCTGCAGGTAATCAGGGCGTACATGCAGGTGCAGCAGACATGTAGAGAAGGAAAGTGCCTCTATAATTTGTCAAATAAAACTGATCAACCAACAAAAGCTGCATTACTCTAAATCAAAACTGTGACTAGATCAGTAAAACAGCAGAGTAAGAGCAAAATATGCCAAAAATAAAAGGTATTGTTCACTCCTTATAGCTTTCATTTTTCATTTCTTAGTCATTTAGAATCTATTTCATCATCTAATGACCACATATTTCCATTCACAGACTCATTTTCAACACGACACCTCGAAAAAGTCACAAAAGAAAAAAGTACTTCATGCAAAAAGTTTTGAAACTCGAAAATCAAATTCACATTCAAAATGTGAGGGAGGGGACATGTTTTTTTCTTTTGCGTTCCCACGCAACACTATTGCGTTACCTCGCAAACGTTTGTTTTGTATGAACTGAATTTAATCAGACTTTTATTTTGAAATATCCAGTTACCAAAACAGGACGCGTCGCCACAAGTTCGTAAAATTGACTTTAATGTTGCGTGGCTGCACTGCGTTAAAATATCGATATGTTGCATACTTCCATGCGTGGCTGTGTGATATATTCATTCTGAAGCTGAATTAAAGTAGTAGGCTAACTCGCTAATGGTGAACATGTGGATTTGTTAATAAACCGGCAGGCATGACAGTGATAAACAACTTTTGTGAGGGAAAGCAAAAGGTAATGCAACACTACTGCGTGGGAACGCAAAAGTAAAAATCCCTCCATGTCCCCTCGTGAATAAATAAAACTGGGAGTGCACACAAAGAAAAAAATAAATCATTAACACTATGTATATTACAACAGATGTATAAAGCCATGTTTATGTATAAACTTCTTTTATAAATCTCAAGTGTCATAAAACTGCAAACATGTACAGAGCCCTGCTGTAATAAAGACAACTGTTTATTTATTTCCATTGTAGTTTATTGACCAGTAAATCTGACATGTCAGTATAATTTATAAAGAATTTATCTTGTGTTTATGCAACTAGATTTTGGATCATATACAGTATACTGTAAGCTCAGATTGTCATGCTTGTTTTGAAAGTTGTGTTGTTTACTTTTTCTTTTTAATGAGATTTGTATTAATAATTTTTCTAATTTACTTTTTATTGATATATGTAAATAATTTAATGGTGTGGAATTAGGTATGAGAATGAACATAAGTGTTTTTGCCTGTTTTTTTTTTCAGGACATAGATATTTTTATACAGAAAAGGCATTGGTCTAGAAAAAAGGAGAACATTTACAAAGATGACTCTTTCCTTAGCTGTATAAGGAGTGAATTAACTGCTCTTTGAGGAACTTGTTTTATCACATATTCAGATTTTAAATGATTTCTTGTTTATTCATGTCTAGTTGTTCAAAGATGGATATGAATACAGATCTATTAAAGTTTCGGTACTCTCATTAAATCAAAAGCGATAAAAACAGATTTGACACAGATTTTATAGTTTTATAGCAAGACAAAACAGAAAAAAAAACTTTATTCCTATTCACCACTTCCACTAATCAGCTTCAGGTGTAAACTAAGGTTTGTGAAACTCTTCAGGCACATTCATATACAGGACACACAGATACAGACATGATCAAACTGAGCATCTGCACACTCCCTCGTGTAAGAATCACATTAATCAAAAGCAAAAACATCCGGCAAAATGAGACACAGAGCCAAAGGGGAAAAAAAAGCGCCCTGAATGATGACAGGAAATTTTATCAATGAAAGTCTCTCATGGCGTGGGAGGGATCTAAAAAATCTTCAGATCATAAATCTCTCACTTCCGAGACACATTTTTCATCGCTTACTTTATTATATATTTGATTTATTTATTTTTTTCCTCAACAACAATCAGCGACATTAAAACCACCAGAGAAGCGGGTGACTTACGTGTTAGCTCAGGAAAAAATACGAATATATGCAAATTATATAGAAAACTCATTGAGTTGGGAAGCATTTTGGCCTTCTTATCTCATTCACTACAACTAAAGCTTCCTCTGCTACTGTAATTATAAGCCTGAGGGGAARTTTTCAGAAGATTCTGCATCAAAAGTGGCGCCACTTAATTTGTTATTCATAGTGAGCAGATCAAAACACATCCCCCTGATCATTTCTACAAAGAACATTCAACTTTTTTTTTAACGCCAAACTGTTTTTGCAAGCAAAAAGGTGTATTTTTGTGTGTCTTACCCAGGTAAACATGGTCCACATTCAGCATCCCTTTCTGGAGTTCCGGCTACACGAACAGTAGCCTTGTAAAGGGCATCGCAATCCTTGTGGCGCCTGCAGATCTCATACTTTCCTTTCGAGTATTTCCCCTGTGGGCACGGCACGCAGGCAAAGTCCTCATCCTTCACACCGTAACCACAGTTCTGGAAAACACACCAGACACCCCAAATCAAGATTAAATGTTAAACACAAAACGGATTAAATGGTCGATTAAAATGTGCTTCTCAGATGATTGAGATGATGTGTTTCTACGGTGTGGACACACATCTGTTTCTAGAATTGTCCCGAGTCAAAAAAAAAAAAAAATCTGGCTTTACTCTTCCCGAGATGACAAGAGAGAAACGCGATTGCTCACGGAGGATGTGTGCACGGCTTTTCACGCATGGTAGTGTTTAGGTTGACCAACTCGTCTTTCCGTTTTCTCGCATCGATCGTCTCCAAATGGTGCTTCCTCTCAGTGGGGAGGCAGAAACAGGCCACACGCAACATCACACATGCTCACATTTACAAAAACATACTCTTTTTCTCCCTTTCTGGCTCCCTCTTTCTTCTTTAATTTCCCTCCTTCTTTCATCTGTCTATTAAACACGCCTGTGCCGYGACGCTCGGGGCGACGGCGAACCGGCTCTTTAGGAAATCCAATAATCTTGCCCTTCTGTTTGACGTCCGCGCGTCTTGGTGCGATTATTCRATCGAAAGGCGCACCGGGCCATCAGCAGGATCGGGTTACGTYGAATCGTGATCCATCTTTCTGCGGTTTCCCTGGGACTCTGCTTCTGTTCAGAGCTTCAAACCAGTGACTGAAATCCTCTTCTTCAAAGCAAATTTGTTGCCATTTTAAATTGTTCTTCTGRTGTTTGCTATTTGAGGTAGAGGCAGTTGAACTATAGCAGGCAGAAACAATTTTTTTTTCAAAATGTCTGTCTTTTTTTTAAAGTTAACGGCAAAAAGAGAAGGGTGGTGAGTTGAAGCAAAAATCTCATGAAGAAAAATCAATGAAAAATGCAGTTCAGCTAAAAATCTTGATGCCAAACAGCTTTCTTCTTAAAAAGCAAACCGACTTTTGTTCCTCAACGAATTAAAAAAAAAAAAAACAGGAAATTTTGAATGGCCTAAATGAGTTTACATTCGCGTAAACAAAAAGGGAAATTTGGATACGAAAACAAATCCTTTGAAAGGCAGCTTCAATGCCTTTTTGATTATGTGATGCATCAAAGTGTGTGTGTGGGCATGTACTTTCTGAAGTGTCTGATGTGAGCATGGTTATTCTTTGATTAAAAGCGTGTCAAAACACACACTCACCCGCAAACGAAACCTCAGGGAACCAGAGGAACACGTGAATTACAGGCTGCGAAACACGGGGACAGGCCGGCGAAAGTCTCGTTTCACAGATGCTATGTCTTTTTAGGAAAGTTTTTACTCGTGAATAACTATTTATGTTTTGTGCTTAACGAGCTGAGCAAAACAAAACAAGTGATTTATTTGATTTCTGCAGTTTAAATATGGAGGATGTCTTATTGTAGCTGGTCACATTCATTTTACTAAGTTTTGTCTATTTCCCACAGCATTTTTATTTTTAATCCAGGACACGCATCCTGCTTTTTCTTGCAGTTGGGGCGACAGCTGGTGTATACAGTATCTATCCTGGACCTTTTTAACATACTGAAAAGTAAACCTAAATCACTTATGAATTGAAGTTTTTTTTCAGTTGTCTACTTGAGAATAATAATGGGTTGTGACACCTAAAACCTATTTTTAAATCATTTTCTAATTCTGTTTATAGCTGTACCCTGTTTTTTTGTAAAAGCAGTACATCCCTGCGAGGCAGTTGTTAAAGAGTAATTTACCCCAAAATTAACTTTTTTTAGCTGATAAACTGTCTAGAATGTGTCTAAAATGTTATATAGTAC